AGCATAGGTCTGCGGACTGAAGGGTCCTGGGTTTGATTCTGGTCAAGGGCACATGCCTGGGTCGAGGGTTCAATCCCCAGTAGGGGGTGTGCAGGAGGCAGCCGATCAGTGCTTCTCCCTCATCATTGATGTTTTTCTCTCTCTCCCTCTCCCTTCCTCTCTGAAATTAATAAAAATATTTTAAAAAAAGAAGAAAAAGAAGTGTGGGTGAGAGCAGACCAGTGGGTGAATCCTCATCTGATTTCAAGAGCAGAAAAAGCAGAACAGATATAACTAGCTGTACCAAAGAAACAGTTTGGAAAGATGTGCACCGTGTGCCTGGTAACTTGTTCCCCAACCAAAATTTGGGATGCTTTTCACTCATTTGTGTGTCCCCTCCAGCTGCTTGAGACCATCTGGAGAATGCTTTTGGAGACTGAGTTTTCTAAGACACTTGGATGAATTATAGGAAAATGGGATAGCCCACTAATTCAGCTGAGTCCTGGGAGGGGACAGACGATCCCCATGTCTCCACACGTGCCGATCTCACAAACTGCACTGAAGCCATGGTAAACAGTTTAGACCAGCTTGGGTATGACACGAAGCTTCCTCTTGGCTATTTCTACAGCTTCATATTGAATGGAAGGAAATCGCTTAAACCGTCAAAACACAGTCTGGCTGAAGGCAAAATGCCTGGTTTGGCGCCTTGCCCCCATCCCTCCCACACCTGCACTGGGACCATTTGGACCCCCTCCAGCTTACAGGCCGGACACACTCTCTGGCCTCCATCAGTCTGAGGTCACAGTTAACATCTCCAGGCCGAACTCCAAAATGAGAGCATTACTGCCTGTGAACATGACCTTACTTCCCAGGTGAAGTTGGTGCAAAATAAACAATATTAATGTGCATCTATGTCCACCAATTTATAGCGGACAAATGTGCTTTGGGGACTTTCATCTTTAGATTTCAGTGAATTGGATACTATCAGATACTTACAGTGAACCAACAAAATATAAAATGTGCTCACAGGATCTCCCTGCCAGAGTCTGCTGCCTTATGCATATATATCTTGGACTGATGAACTAGACCACAGTTAAACCCACCAATCAAAGCAAAGCTATGCCTTCATCCTTCAGATAACATACTAATGAGGGGGACCAGATTTGTTTCATAATGGCATCTTAGTTTCTTTTTTTTCCAAGATATATATGCTTTAACTTGTATATTAAACATGTAGAAATATGTCCTTTATTCTTTCTTAAAACATGGCTCTCCCACTCTATCTATCTATCATCTAGTTTTTACCCATTTTTAACAGACATGAGCACTCAATCTATTCCACTTTCCTCTCTCTCTCTCTCTCTCTCTCTCTCTCTCTCTCTCTCTCGGCAGAATGCATGTGTGATGATAAATGGCAAATGATTCTTAGCTGTGGTGTTGGGGACCAATAAGGAGTGGTGGGGACAATGGCAAATTGAAGGCCATTGCCTAAACTGAAGTCAGCAGCTCCTTTTTAATGCCAATCAATTGTTGTCGCAGGGAACATGGGCCCCATGTTGCCAGGTTTTTCAAAAATTTAAAAAGAAGCCAGAAATCTAGATGTAAAATAGCTTCATTATCAAATATTGCTAACAATTTAATATGAAGTTTGTCACCAGGCAAGCTGAACAAAACATACAAATAGACCAAAGTGAATCCATGGCCACCAGTTCACAATCTCTGGTTTTAACTGTCAAACACAATTACTGGTATAGAACTATTATATAATTGTGGTTGATGTGGCTCTTTCTAAGCAATATAGAAATATAGTTCTAAGAAAGTCAGTATATTCCCAGTTGGTAGGCTATTTTATATGCAACAGGCAAATACAGAATTAAGAAGGCAAATTCCCTATGATCAGTAATTCATAATAAAATAGATGCAGCACAGAATGACTGCAAGTGGGAGAGACTTCATATTCACAGAGAGTATGAACAGATTAACAAAGGCATCTGAAGTGGACAATTTTGTTAGAATGTCCTTTGCCTGTGTGTAAGTTCCACGTGAGGCCATCCTGCTTTGGCTGCTGGTGCCTCAACCCCTGGAGGGACAGGGCTGGGGTCTTGCCTTTCTCTTGCCAGTCATGTCCCTGCCAGAATATCATCATCGCAGAATATCACAATAACAGAAGGGAACATCCATTGCGCATTGTCTTGCACCAGACACTCTGATAAATGCTTTATATCTCAGTAACACCTTACATCCTCCCAATAACCTGGGAGGAAGCAACCATAGTCATCTTCATTTTACAGATTTCCCTTCATTTTATATAGCTCATAAGGATTCAGTGTGACCACCCAGCCCACGCTCGTAATTCCTACCTTCTCTGTGACCTCTTATTTGTTAAAGGGTCTGTCTCTGCAATGACAAGGAATTCACGACCTTGAGGGTCTTCTGACTCTATGTGAACTCAGCATCATCTGAAGACCTTGCCCATTCCCTCCTTCTCCTATGTGTCTCCCTCCTTTGCTCTGAGACCTTGTCAATCTGACACTCACTGGGTAGGTGACTTGGTAAATTGCATGTTCTCTCTGGGACAGTTCTTTTATCAATAAAACTAGAGACCCGGTGCATGAAATTCGTGCACTGAGGCAGGGGGTCCCTTAGCCCTGCCTGCACCCTCTTGCAGTCCGGGACCCCTTGGGGGATGTCCGACTGCCGGCTTAAACCAGGGGGATCGTGCCTAAGCCAGCAGTCGTACATCCCTCTTGCAATCCAGGATCCCTTGCTCCTTACTGCCCGCTTGCTCACTCCTTACTGCTCAGCTCATTGCTCCTTAGTGCTGCTGCAGAGGCAGGAGAGGTTCCCGTCACCACGGCTGCACTTGCCAGCCGTGAGATAGGCTTCTGGCTGAGTGGTGCTCCCCCTTTGGGAGTGCACTGACCACCAGGGGGCAGCTCCTGCATTGAGCGTTTGTCCCCTGGTGGTCAGTGCACATCATAGCAACCGGTTGTTCTGATTGTTCCGCTGTAACGGTTGCTTAGGCTTTTATTAGATAGATGGAGACAGAAGGGAGATGGCTCTGCCCATAGTAAATGTTAGGGAGCACCAATGATTTCACATGGCCTTCACGGCCACGTGCATACCCATCAATGAGCCTGCCTTTCAAGATCTTAGCACTCTAGCACCTCCCTACCCACTGGTCTCCTCTCCAGCCAAGGAGTTCTTATCCATTTACTACTTGGGTGTGTGTTCCTCTGAGTAGTGCCTTCCCCTTCCCTCTTGGCCCCGCAAACTCTCAGCAGACCCCAGCACTTGGGTTAGCTTCTCTCCCATTTTGAAGCCTCTTCTGCCTTCTCCAGGCCACATTGATTTCTTCCTTTCCCAAAGACTGCTTGCATTAATCCCAGACCTGACCCCTCACATCCGCACAGCAGTTCACAGGCAACAGAGCACTGTGGCATGCGTGTTACCTCATAGAGCAGTGATGGTGAACCTTTTGAGCTCGGCGTGTCAGCATTTTGAAAAACCGTAACTTAACTCTGGTGCCGTGTCACATATAGAAATTTTTTGATATTTGCAACCATAGTAAAACAAAGATTTATATTTTTGATATTTATTTTATATATTTAAATGCCATTTAACAAAGAAAAATCAACCAAAAAAATGAGTTCGAGTGTCACCTCTGACACGCGTGTCATAGGTTCGCCATCACTGTCATAGAGACTCACAATGACCCGCCACATTGTTGCCCAACTTCACTCTCCAGCCAGGGCCAGAACTGGACTGGAATCCAGACTCCTAACCCCCAGGCCAGAGCTCCTTTCCAGTCCTCACTGCCTGGGTCGGCATTAACCATTTCATGCCTCGGTGTTCTGTGTCTCCAGTGCAATTCTGTTCTTGGGGGCAGGAGTGGGTCTAATCCTCTTGTTCGTGAATGGGTAGTATGAGTGGCAAAGAGCATGGATGTTGACACCTGACATGCATTCGTCTGAGCACATTTTAAACCTCAGCTTCCTCATCTGTGAAATGAGGATCACTACAGGGCCACCTTCCCAGGGCTGTTGTGGGGATTAAATGAGACCACACAGGCAGAGCCTCTAACACTGGACCTGGGACATAATCAGTGCTTAATAAATGTTAGCCACCATCTCTGTGCCCATCCCTTCTCCTCTGCAGGGCTCATTCAAATTACCTTTCACTTGGCAGGTGGTGCCTCTCGCTCCAGGAAGGGGTATCAGATGAAAAGCAGGAACTGACCACAGAGCCAAAGCCCTCTGTGGCTGCTTAGTGCATTCAGGAAGAAAGGCCCCTGGAGTGATGTCTGACATAGGACTGTGTCCCTTTGTTCCTCCAGTGTATTGGCATCTCCCACCATCAGGGAGTATTTTAGGCAGAGAGCAAAACAAACATAAACCCTTGCCCTCCTGTGAGGTTATACTTGGGGGTGGGGGTACCGGCAAGGTATAGAGAGGAAAACGCTGGAATATTAGATGTATTTACAATTTTCATTAGGATTAGCTTTGCTGCTTTTAGTTATGTGTATCAATTATACCACCCAAACTGGATCACACCGGAGCATTCAAGCAGGTTCCGGGGGTCACGCATGCAGGGTGGGGCCCGGCAGCCAAGAGCTCAGTCCAGCTGTGTGATCTCGGGACATTGGCGCCACCTCTCCGAGCCCAAATCACAGTGATTCCAGCCTCCTTGGGCCATCGACCCGCGAATGGAGAGTGCTTTGTCCGTGGAGCAGCTCCGACGGGGACAGACGTGAGGGTGGGAGGGAGCGCGGCCGCTTTCCCGGACCAGCTGGGTCTCCGGGCTTTTCCCGAAGGTTACTTAATGCCGCTGGGGGTGGCACTGGCGGCCGGGAAGCGCGAGGCTGTCGAGGGGGAAAGGGGCGTGGGGAGGTCCTGGGGTGGGAGTGCGCCACCGCTGCCCGAGGTGGGCGCGGCGCGGCGCGGCGCGCGAGGGAGCGCTGGGCGCGGCGGAGTCGGGTTTCAGAGCGCGTGTGACTCAGGGCGCGGGCCGGAGCCGGGAGCCTGCCCGCCGCGGCCGCTGCCAGCGCCGCCTTTGTTCCCTGCAGGAAGGGCGAGCGGCGGCCCGCGCGCAGCGCCCCGTCGCCTCCGCGGAGCTCGGTCGCTTAGCGCCTTCGGGGCTCGGCAGACCCGCGAGATGGAGCCAAGGTAAGACCCGCGCCCCGGCTCCTCCGCGCCCCTCCTGCCCGCCTCGCCTTCTCTCACTCGGCCACTTCTTGCAGGAGGAACGAGCAGAGTCGGTTCCTGCTGTGGCTGCTCTGGGTCTCCGCGCTTCTCTCCGCTGCTGTCCGGACCCGCGCGGAGACAGGTAAGCTACCCGGCCGGAGGGTGGCACCCGCTGCCTCCGCGCCCCGGGGAAGCTCGTTTGGCTGCGGGCGCGGCTGCAGTGCGCGCCTCATTCCTGGACATAAAAGGGAGTCCTCGCCGCTCCGTGCGCACTGGCGGTCCTGCCGCGGCTTCCCGAGGGGGTTCCTGGGGTGGGTGGGAGTCCCAGGCAGCTGGGGTGGATGGAGCGCTCTCTGGGCATCCAAGATGTCTAAGTTAGGCGTGGTCCCTCCAGTCCTGGGCATCGAGAGCCTTTGGAAGCAGCGGAGGGCACCAGAGGCTCCGCGGGGACAGTTAGCTGCGCCCAGTGCCCGCGCCCAGGTCGTGCGTGCTGCCCAGCTCATTGTCAGGGCAGGTGTGGTGCCCTCCCTGTACCCAGGTGCGGAAGCATGACCGCCAGCAGAGACACCTGGCGCCGTTGCCTCGAAAGAAATAACGGGACTGAATTGCTCTGATGCCTCACTTAGCGCTGAGTTACCGCGGGAGTCACCTCCACGGGGCAGTGGTTCCATGGGTGATGGGAAGAGCTATGGGCCGGGAGCCAGGGGATCTGGTCCCTTCTGTTTCCCAAGGCTCACTTTCCCCACCTGGACCCACAGGCGGTGGGATGAATCCCGGGGTATTAGTTAAAACATGTTTTGGTTAGGTTGTGTCAGGCAGCATGGGGTTGAATTGTGCCTAGTTGGGTGACCTTGGGCAATTAATTTCACCTCTCTGGGCTTCAGTTTCCTCATTCAAAAAAAGGGGGGAGGGGATAATTAAATCACCCGACCTCCTAGGGCTGCTGTGAAGATTAAGAGAGATATTAGAAATAATATGCTTTCCACACGCTAGCGCATACCAGGCAGAAAATAAGTGGTAGGTATTGTGGCTTGGTGCTAGCAGTAGCTGTGTTAGAAAGCAATGCAGGAATTCTTACAGAAGAGGACACTGAGGATGAGAGAGGCTTAGGAAGTGGCCGGTCCAACGGCAGAACTGAGCCCAGATTTGCAGGCTCCGGTCGTGCCTTGCTCCGCCCTTCCTCCATGCAGTTTTGTGGGAGAGCTGTGCTCCCCAACAGTGGTCTCTGACCCCTTTTGGATTTAGGAGATTAGAACACAGTCTCCATAGAGGTGTCTCCATGAAGGAAAGTGGGGATTGGGTGGGTGGCCTTGGTTAACTCTTTGTGTGCTGGAGGAAGCCTGGGACAGCCCGGACCATTGTTTCCTTGGGAGGGAGACCCAAACGCGATGACAGCTTTTCCTGCCAGAGCGTCCAGCCTGGCATTTCTTGCAGATCAAAGGGCAGCTGGAGCACAGTTTTGGCTTCTCAGCACCATGGCCCATGTGGGAACATTGCAATTTTGCATGTGATATAGGTTACTGCCAACTCAGCAGCAGAGGCAGCTTCGGGTTCTGTGATCCTCGGTGAACTTTGCTGCAACCCTCACCCCCAAAAGGAAGAAGGCTCTGGGGAGAGACACTTTGGTGTCTCTTGCCTCCTCCTGCGCCTGTAGGCTGGGTCCCTGGGAGACAGGTCAGGGCTGTGGTTGCTAACACAGAGGAAGTCCTGTTCTCATCCATCATGTAAGAAGGGAGTGCCAGGAAGCCCTCAGGAACTGAACAGGGCCTGGGTAGGGCCATTTGCAATGGTGGGTATTCGGTGTCCCTTTGAGACTCAGAATCTTCTAGATGCATGAAATATCCTCTTGCAAACCAAATTTTGCATGCAGTTCAATTAGTCTAACACCTATAAATCACTTCATATGCTCAGGCAGAGCTGTGAACACACTCATACTTCATTCATCCAGTCCTCACAATGCTCCACGGGGTGGGGACAGGGACTGTTACTGTCTCGGTCCTTCAGATGAGGAAAGTGAGTCCCAAAGGCCCAAGGCTTCCAGGCCCCTCAGGGTTTCCTGCCCACCCTGTTTAAAGAGACCCTGAAAGGGACCCTTGCCCTCACATCCATCCTTGTGTCCCTAAGGGGTCATGGCTGAGTAGTAAAGTTCAGTGTCATTGGAATAGCCGCTATTTTAGATGATGAGGTTGTTGTGGGGACAGGGACAGTAGTGCCACCAGTAATTTGTTCCAGATAAAATGCTGATATGTGCGAATTATTTACTTTTCTTTAAAGTGTTTGATTGTGAACCTATCGACGTTTCTCTTTCACATTGATGTTTCTCTTCCTCTCCTTCCCTCTCTCTCTCTCTCTCTCTCCCTCCCTCTCTCTCCCCTCCCCTCCCCTCCCTTCCCCTCTCTCTAAAGCCAATAAACATATTCTCTGGTGAGAATAAATGAAAAAGTACAGTTCAATGATGTCTCACAGTACAAACATCACATAACCCAGGTGAAGAAATAGCATAGCCCTAACCGGTTTGGCTCAGTGGATAGAGTGTCGGCCTGCGGACTAAAGGGTCCCAGGTTTGATTCCGGTCAAGGGCATGTATCTTAGTTGCGGGCACATCCTCAGTAGGGGGTGTGCAGAGGCAGCTGATCGATGTTTCTCTCTCATCTGATGTTTCTAACTCTCTATCCCTCTCCTTTCCTCTCTGTAAAAAATCAATAAAATATATTTAAAAAAGAAAGAAATAGCATAGCTCCCAGAAGCTCCTTTGTGTCCTTTGGCTATGTGATTCCCTCCCTCCCCTCAGAGACAACTATCACTTTGACTTTCAATGTGATCATTTCCTTACTTTTTAAAAATAACTTTAGGACCTAAACTTGTATCCCCAAATTCCAAAGTTCCATTTTACTTGATTTTGAACTTTATACATGTAGGATGTCTTCTTTGGTGTCTGCCTTTTTAAACTGAATATTAAGTTTTTGAGATTCATTCATGCTGTTGCATGTGGCTGTAGCTAATCTATCTTCATTGCTATATAATATTCCACTGTATTAATAACATGTATATTATCTATCCATTTGTCTTCAACAATATTTTTCCCATTTGGGGATGATACAGTAGTGTGTCTGTGAACATTCTTCTACGTGTCTCTTGATGCACATGTGCACACATTTCTCTTGATTCTGTGTCTAAGAGTGGAATGCTGGGTAACAGGGTATGCAAATCCTCCAACCAAACAGACAACGCATGAACAGACAGCATGTCTGTCACCTGGTTGTTCGCAGGTACACAGCCACCAGCCTGGTATGAGCGTCCCCGTTTTTTAGCATCCTCACCAGCACTTGGTCTTGTCACTGGGCTTAATTCCAGCCTTTCTAATGGGTACCTATTAGAATCTTACTGTATCTTCATTTATGTTTTCCTGATTATTAAGTTGATTACCTTTTCATGTATTTATTGGACATTTAGATATCCTGATTTACTTTTTTGAGGTAAAATTCACGTAACATAAAACTAGCCATCTTCACCTGTGCAATTCAGTGGCATTTAATACATTTACAGTGTTGTGCAGCCGTTGTTTTTATCTGCTTCTAAAAATTTTCATCACTCTAAAAGAAAACCTTAATTCCATTCAGCAGCCACTCCCTATCCCCCCAGTCACACCTCACCAACCCCTGCCAACCACTAAACTGCTTTCTGTCTCTATGGATTTGCCTATTCTGGACATTTTGCATACATGGAATTATATAATACATGACCTTCTGTGCCTGGCCTTCTCTTACTTAGCATAATGCTTTTGAGGTTCATCATATTGTAGCATGAGTCCGTACTTTATTCTTTTTTACGGTTGAATAATATTTCTTTGTATGGATATACCACAATTGTTTTGTTCATCTTCCACTCATAGGGATATTTGGCTATTGTGAATAGTGATATTATGAATATCTGTATGCAAGGATTTGTTTGAATATTTGTTTTCAATTATTTTATGTGTATAGCTAGAGGGGGAATTGCTGGGTCATAAAGTAATTCCATGCTTAAGTTTTTGAGGAACTCCCAAACTATTTTCCACGGTGGCTGCACCATTTTACAGTCTCACCAGTAGTGTACAGGGGTTCTGATTTTTCCATATTCTTGCCAACACTTGTGATTTTCCATTTTTTAATTAGAGCCACCTTAGCGGGTGTGAAGTGGTATCTGGGGTTTGGATTTGCATTTCCCCCATGACTACTGAGGTTGAGCATCACTTCATGTGCTTGTTTGCTGTTCGTAGGTCTTCTTTGAAGAAATACTAAAAACTCATCAGAGCAGGTTCAGGTTTTCCCTCTAATTATCTCGCTCTTGCTCACTGGCAGTCTCATGTGCTTTCCTGAGTGAGAAAGAAGGAAGAGTCACACCTGGGATTTTGCAGCCCTGGCTCCCTGCCTTGCCTATACCAGGACTGGTAATGAGTTACTGTTGCTCACATACCATTAGAAGTTGTGATGAATATAAATGATTGTAGTGTTTTAATTACTGGCTGATTTTTTGTTTTGTTTTGTCTGAAGTTGGGGATGACCTGGAGTACCTCACACCCATTTGTGTGTTTTCAGCAAAGTGAATGCTGAAAACTGCCAGCACCTGAACCACTCACAGCTCCCCATGTATAGTTGGAATTTTGCAGTCTCCTTGACTTTGCATAGGTGTGAACTAATCTCCGTCTAGAGCATGCTTTCTCACATTCCCTATCTCTTGAAGATCTAATCCCACCTACCATCCTAAATGGTACCTCTTCCAGGGTGCCTTCCCTGGATCTCTCCAGTGGAGTTTTCTTATCACTATATCCTTACATCTCTCTCTCCAGGCCCCAGCCACAGTCCCTCTCTGTACTATCAATATGTTTATTCATCTCCATTTCCCATGGGAGCACCTTGAAGTGTGGGTCATGCCTCATTTGTCCAGAGTTGGTCACTTGGACTTTGGCCATTTTGTTATTACTAGAGGCCCGGTGCACGAAATTCGTGCACGGGTGTGGTCCCTAGGCCTGGCCAGCAATCAAAGTGTGAGTGTCTGGCATGGAAGGGCAGGTCCCAGCTGACCTCTGGGCCCTGGGCAGCACCTGGGCCCTGGGCCCCCACGTGCGCCCCTCTGCCTGAATCACAGCACCTGAGTCCCCAC